AAGGGGTGGTGTGCTGGAGGTCTCTCCTGCAGGTGTTTGTGGAAGAGCCTCCAGTCGACACGTGTCTTTACTGTTCTGGGCGGCGTAGTCACCGCCTTTAGGCCAAGGGTAATTAAGATCGGGAGGTGCTGTGAGTCCAGGTCGTACAGCACCTCTACCACTATCGGGTGGTTGATGTTCCTAGCGAGCACGATGTCCAATACATCCGGACGACTTCGTGGATCCGTTGGAACATGAGTGGGTTCTTCGGGCCGTAAAACGTCGTAGCCGTGTCTTTCGGCGTCTCGAAAAGTGCATGACCCGGCGGGTTGATCAGTCTGGATCCCCACGCAGGGTGTTTGGCGTTTAGGTCCCCAGCGATGATGGTCGGTGTTTCGCCTTCCATTACCGTCCGGACGTCTGAGGAGCAAAATGGAGTCCCTGGCGGGCGGTATGCTGCGTAGATCCTAAGTTCCTCGCCCGCCGCCCCTATTTTTATGCCGATAGAGCGCATAGATTGGTATTCCGGTAGGTCTAGTTCTTGATGGACGATGTCCCTTCTCACTAGGACCGCTGTCCCTCTGTAGGCGGCCCCTTGATAAGTGACCTCGTCCCTCCTATACAGATGGTAGTTAGGCAGCTTTATGCGTGTGCTCGGATTAAGTTTCGTCTCTCCCAGCAAGATGACCTGTACGTCTTGTTGTTGGGCGACGGTGCGGAGTTCTTGCAGCTTCTGCTGGATTCCACCTGGGTTCCAGTAGAGGAGGCGCAGGTTAGATTCCTCCATAGTGCCGAGCCAGGAGGTTCGCCAGCGCCTTCATGACTGCTGTAATTGGATCAGTCTCGGCTCTGATATCTGCCAGGACCTGGCTGCCGACCTCGATTGCTATGCCAACCAAAAGTTGGATGACGTCAGCAGTCTCGAAGCCGACTGAAGGTGTTCCAGGTGCCTGTGCAGGAGTTGGCGCTGGTCTCGGGAGTTGGTTTGTTGCTCTTTGCGTATGGGTAGAGCGCGCTCTATATGTAGAGCGGGCTATATTTTCTGATAGAGCCCTTTCTGGCACTCTACCCATTCTGGCTTTCTTGTCCTCCTTGGTAACCTGCGCCTGGGCTATCGTTACCGCTGGGGTTGGGGTAGAGGTTGCTGCCTGAGGAGGAGGCTGCACCTTCTTCTTCTTTTTCCCCCCCGCTTACTCCACTGAGTGGTTTGTCGCTCTATGGCGTCGAACGAATTGCAAGAAAACTTGTTTACTGAGCTACCCCAGAGCGATACGCGAAAGTGAGCCTCGCCATTTGTGCGCTTGCGCACTCAATTACATCAATTTGTACTATCACTCTCTCACGGTTTACCCAATAACTTTATTTGTATAAGACATACATTTATACAATCTACTTATAAAGATAGCACAAAAAATATCTATACTACGATATACATTACATTTTTATATCACAAAAAACCTTTTATTTATTTAACAAAATATGCTTATTTTACTCACATGTTCAAAGTTGAAATTTCTTAAATATTTAACATGGAAAGTTAAAACAATGTTTTCCACTTGAAATTATACATATCTTATCCAATACAACAGTTTAATTTACATTTTCTCTATACATTTCACTATTAAAACACTTTTAAATTTCTTATACAAAACTATCATTATTTCACTTATTCACAGGAATTTTCACATAAAAATAACCCAGAATTCACCTCTTTTACACGTACAATCAATCTGAAATGTTTTACAAGTAATTTTACATAAATTGCTGAAATTTGTAAATATTTAAATTTCTACATATTTGGCCTACGCTAAGTACGTGGCTAGCGTGCGTCTATGAACTCACACTATTTGAACAACTAACTTTTGCACGGCTATCGACTATCAGTAAAAATGGAAAGTCTAATATCAACAATACTAGGTGAATAAATGATTCTACACAATTCTCAAACGTTGAAAACTATTTCTAATCAGATTCTTATCAGTTACCATGTTTCTCATCAAACAATATAAGTGAATGTTTTCATAAATCAATCATAGAAAATAGGCATTTGTTTTCATACAAAACATATCAAACTCATATAAGACAATACTTATGCAATTAATTTCCATTAATTCTACTTACGCACAGCGATCATCTCGACCGGGGAACAAATCCTGGTCTCTAACTTTATTTTAATATTTCTTTAAATTAATATTATTCGAAAGATGATTTCAACCGGGGAACAAATCCGGTAACATAATTTATATCTTAAAAATTCCCTATATGAATTTATTAAGAGATATTACTAAGAAAACGATAAACTATTCCGGCCTGGGAGTCGAACATAAGACCTTCATATCATTAATTAGATATTTCTTTAAGATTCAACTAAGCATTTTCTTATAGGAATATTGTTGCTTGATAATGTTACGAGCTTGAGGTTCGTGACAATAAAAATTGCCGATAAAATTACCTAAATTAACACTTTAATTTACTGTACACAAATTAAAACTTAAAACACTAATAATTAAACACATTAATTCACTTTATTCCGCTCCGAAGCTTCGCTTGTCTCGCCAAATCCAATACTGCCTCGATCGCATCTTACAGCGCCTATATATACAAATTAGCAATGAAGCATCCGGAATATTCAAGTAAATGCGCGCAAAGCGACGAGTGTTCGAGTGTAGATTTTCTAGAAACTTAGTTCTTCGGATGGCGCTGTCGGTTGAAAGATTTGTGATGTCATTTTCTGCAAAGCTCCCCTCGCTCTCGTTCCTGACACTAGATGGCGCTAGTGTATGCCGTTGACTTATTCACGCAACAATAATTTGCTTTTTAGAAGCTGTTCATAATTGGTTAACTAATAAATTGAAATATTCTTATAGGCGCGTCGCCAACAGCTTCCTACAGGTGAAGGGAGAGATAACATATAGATTTAAGACATAATTAAATCCATATGCTATCACTGACAAAACGTAATGGTTGCACTCTTGTTATCATAGCTTGAAGTATACATGGCGAGAAGGTGTGTCGTAATCTCCCGAACGACGCCCAGCAAAGTTAGATCCATCGATTGACTTCTAAGTTAAAATTGTCCTAGTAATAACTGGGTGATACTCTGGGAGAATAAATATGTACTACTAAGAGTTGTTTTTTGACTACCTGCTCTCTTTTACTGGAAACTAGGCATTCCCTCTTAATTTTCAAGGGATGATTTCCTGAAGATAGAGTTTGGGATCACTTAGGGGGTGGTGTGCGATAGAGGGTGATGGTGGTGAGAATCACCATTTAAATATCTATCTGTATGGGTCTTTTTCTATAAGTTCTAATCTAATCGAATCTAATCTAATGCCGTGGCCCATAGACATCTACATTTGTCCCCGATTAAGAATCAAAACGCAGATGCGTTGTCACCCCTGAGGACTAAGATGGAATGTCTCGTTTCCAGTAAAAAAGGGTCTCTCGGTGTTTGATTCCTGTGGGGATAGATGAACTGGTAAGGAAATTTTATTTGCTTATTTTCCACGTACTCAGTGAAATGGTGAAGATTAACTTCGCCTTCATAATTTAATAAAAAATCGTGGACATTTGAAAACCACTATTTCTCACTCTGGGTAATTAGGAGCCCTGTCCACAGTTGTAACACGTACCTATGTTAGTTGCTGTTAAGCTTTTTTTGAGATTTCTGTTTTACTTTTAATGAGACTTGTAAAACAGTTTGTCGTATATTAAGATAGCTTTCATATTGTCAGACATATAAAGATTCTCGTGATAGTCTCGGTTTCATAACTCACATGAACAGGCTCTTGCAAAAAAGTACTTATAGTAGTATATACCAATGACAGCAAATTTTAAACACAGGCATATTTTTATGTTAACTATGAATGGAACTGCACTGATAGAATCTTAAAAATCATCTGTCAAAGCCGGTAATCGAACAGCTCCAAACGTAAATCATGAACATTTACATACATACATTATATGTCTGGATAAGGTAGCAGTTAAATTTACATTATACTGATGACATTATTTTCAAAAGATGTTCCCGGACCAATTGTTCGAAGGCTATCTTTTTTGGTGCTTTCCTAATGTCTTGAGGTAAGGAGTTCCAGAGTAGTGTAGTAAAAAGTTAGGAAATAGGATGCACAGAAGAATATAAACGTAGGTTGTTTTAAATACCTTTTATTACGCCATGATTAATATCGTAGATTCATAGTAGATTTATTCATTGTTTTTAATAAACTGTATTTAATTGGCAGCGGTAACATGTATTTCACTAAGTAGGACTTTTTCTACGTACCGGGCTTAGCCATGTTGGTTTTCTAAAAAATAAAACTTTACAAAATCAAGAGTCGGTACCAGCCTATAAGTCCCAGTTAGAACCGTCAGAGAGCCAGTATAATTATCGGCTATGAAACACTGAGTTTGCGCAGGAATGACATGACTTCATTTCTCTCTCCGTCCCATCATCAGACAAGCAGACAACGGCCAGTCTAGTACGCATTATGAACCATTTGTATCGTCGACGAACAACAATCGTAATGCGTACAGAAAAGGAGTGGAACAATTTCCCACTATCTATCTTTATCTTATCACTTACCTATCTTCCATGCGATTACAATGTAGGTGTTTTTTTTTTAGGCAATAAGCTAAGTCAGTGCAGTTTGCCGTTTTCGACAGCATCACTACTTACCATCATACTATAAAGTGGGTTAGCAGTCAAGTACTAGCTTAGATCATGATCAAATATTTGTATTGTAAAAAATTTCAGCAATACATTTTTTTTTTAATTAAATAAAATAACAAAGTATTGCTGATGTAAATATATTGATTAAATAATATATAAAAATACATAATAAATATATTTTTATTAGTTTTTATTTATTTTGATTATTTTTGAAAACTTACAGCTAAATATAATATACAAATAATAGAATAAACAGAGGATGAAGGTCAATACCAAGTTTATTTGAAGATAAAACCGAACGTAATACTAATTAAAGTATATTTTTTTACAGATTGCTGATTTGTTTTTAGTTATGGTCGCTCTCGGTAACGGTGAGTATAACTTTTTAAAAATACATGTAATAGGTGTATAAAATATAACATTTTGTAAATAAAAAAATGAAAAAATTAATAATCGGATATCCGAGTGGAATAATAAAACTATGTGTCACTATTATTACCATACTAAATGGATCACCTTTTCGGTTCAGTTGTGGCAGTAATCAGCACTTGTGTTTACATCTTTAGTACCTATATATAACTACGCAAAACACCAGATTCTGTGAATTATAATACTTAGTAGGAAATTAGCACTTCCTCTTGTTAATATTACTCTACTCTTTGGTTAGCATTATAGAATTATTTTAGTTTTACAAACAACAGATACTGAGCTATTACCTTTCAACAGGTCACCCGCACGGAGGCGGTCACGGACCAGGAGGACCGGGAGGACACGGTAGCTTTGGTCCCAGAGGTAGCCAAGGCGGCTTTGGACCAGGTGGCCAAGGCGGATTTGGACCAGGACATCAGGGTGGTTTTGGTCCAGGAAATCATGGAGGTTTTGGTCCAGGAAATCAGGGAGGACCTGGTAACCAGGGAGGATTTGGACCCGGTGGCCACGGCGGACAAGGAGGATTTGGTGGTCAAAATAGTTTTGGATCTAGAGGCGGTCCAGGTGGTCACGGTGGTCACGGTGGTCACGGTGGTCACGGCGGTCACGGTGGTCACGGCGGTCACCGTGGCGGGCATTAAGAGCACGGATTTTAATTTGTAATGTTTATTATTAAAGACTAAATTATTAATCTTTGCCCTTTTTATTTAGGGAGTATTGCGTAAATTTTTACAAAGTAAAGTTTTATCGTTTATGCAATAATATAATAGTTTGAAGTGCCCTTGGATACGTGATTCTGTGTATTAAGTGACTGCGCATGTTAAATGTTGGTGGAAACGTTGAAGCAAGTGCTTCGATGTTGAGATGTTTGTCCGCTGAGGCTCCGTAAAGAGAACAAATTATTGTAATAGTGACTTGTTATATTTACACGAGTACAAGGAGAGCCGTGGTAGCTCAGTAGCTAAGTGCTCACTGTTCACTATGCACTTCACAGTACCGGTGCTAATTAAATTGTAAATTGTAATTTCATGGGAAGGAAAACATCTTAAGGAAACCTGCATGTCTGAGAAATAAGAAAAGAAAATATTTCAAAGACGTGTGACGTTCACTAACAGGCATTGGGGCGACGAGGCGAAATCTTCCTTGCCCTTAAACCTCAGCCCAGCTGTTTGACATATATAGATTTTAACTTTAACTTTAACATGAATACTTAAAATAAAATAAAATTAACTGAGAAGTCGATCACAGTCGAGCGTGTTCCTGCTGTCCTACCATATGTCAGAGGAGTCACATACGTAACTAGCTACGTCTCTAAGCTATCTTTCATTAAACATTGAAGTTATTGGCTTAGCAATAAGCCAATAACTTGCGGCGCTGGGGGCCGCGGGTTCGAATCCTGCACGGAAAAATTATTTGCCGGACGTTTGTCCTTGTGCAATTTATGTTTGTAAACTGCTTCCAAAGTATAGTAGAAAATACTGTGGGAGGTGTAGTTTAAAAAATTATCATCCATCATGCAAAATGTAGTAGTATATAAGCTTGATTGTATGTTATATGTTTCCTCTTTCATCATCATCATTATCATCATTACAGCCCTTCACAAGTCCACTGCTGAACATAGGCCACCCCCAAGTAATGCCACAAAGCACGGTCCTGAGCCACCTGCATCCATCGACTTCCTGCATGTCTTACCAGGTCGTCACTCCATCTAGTGGGGGGTCGCCCTACACTACGCCTACCGGTACGAGGCTGTCACTCGAGAACCTTTCTTCCCCATCGGTTATCGGTTCTTCGAGCTAAATGGCCGGCCCATTGCCACTTCAGCTTACTAATCCGTTGGGCTATGTCGGTCACTCTGGTTTTACTGCGGATATCCTCATTTCTGAGTCTATCACGCAGTGAAACTCCGAGCATAGCCCTCTCCTAAGCTCGCTGAGCGACCTTGAGCGTCCTCATACGGCCAGCGGTGAAGGACCACGTCTCAGATCCGTAAGTCATCACTGGCAACACGCACTGGTTATACACTTTAGTTTTCAGAGATTGAGGTATACCTGACGAGAAGATGTGTCGTAATTTCCCGAACGCTGCCCAGCCGAGTTGAATCCGTCGATTGACCTCTCGGTCGAAGTTGGACTTACCTAGTCGGACTATTTGTCCCAGGTAAACGTACTCGTCAACAACTTCGAGCATAGTGCTCCCGACATTAAACATGATCTTTGTTTTGTCCATGTTCATCTTAAGACCTATCCGTTGGGAGACACCATTGAGGTCATTGAGCATAGTGCTAAGGTCCTCCAGCGATTCTGCCATAAGGACTATATCGTCGGCAAATCGAAGGTGAGTGATGTACTCGCCATTGATGTTAATACCGTATCCTTTCCAGTCCAGTAGCTTGAAAACGTCTTCCAACGCAGCGGTGAAGAGTTTCGGGGATATAACATCACCCTGTCTTAAACCTCTCTGCAGTTGGATAGGTTTCGTACTCTGGTTCTGTACTCGGATAGCCATCGTAGCCCTACTGTACAAACACTTCAGCACTTCAATATACCGATAGACACCGCTGAAGAGACTGTAGCACCGCCCAAATTTCGACGGAATCAAAGGCTTTCTCATAGTCCACATACGCCAGGCAAAGTGGCAGATTGTACTCTTCGGACTTCTGTACAATTTGCCGAAGGGTATGTATGTGGTCTATGGTACTGAAGACTTTTCGGAAACCGGCTTGTTCGGGAAGGCTGGAAGTCGTCGAGTCTGCGTGCGAGACGATTCGTAATGACTCTCGAAAACAGCACGTAGACGCGGCTCAGAAGGGAAATCGGTCTGTAGTTCTTCAAGAGAGTGTTGTCGCCTTTCTTAAAGAACAAGACCACCGCGCTTCTGCTCCATGCCTCTGGAGTAGTGCCACCATTTTTCTTTCATATCACAAAGAAATTTATCGATAATAAAAATCCAGTAAAAGAACATTAGCTGACGTGAAACTCCGACGTTACGGGAATTCTGCAGTCTGGAAATGTCACAAATATACTCGCATAAGATTCGCAAGGTTGATTCGCTAGGCTATTACAATACAAATTAAAATCATACAAATTCTATACCTATACTAATAGGAGATGGCTGGGTGCTACAACCTCCTTGGGTCCTATATAATAAATAAAATTAACTCCAAATTCAAGCAATCTACTGCTAGACTTCAAGATATGGTATGCTTATTCTGCGTAAATCGGACCAAAACATAATATTTACAAGTTGAAGTACGTAGTACTATTATTTATTCTGTAGTTAAAGGTAGTATGGGCTAACTATGACATCGGTACGTTAACCACCTCATTACCTTCGAGTAAGACTGAGGACTGAGGAGGAACAGAACTAAAATTTAGTATAATAAGTTAAACGTCATAAAATTTTTAAGATTAGTTTTAATCAGATTACTTTAAAGGATAATTTCCTATCACTTGTATTGGCAAAAGTAAGGCCTTACGAGTGCATTACGATTGAAAAAAAAAAAACAATTTTTTTAACTTGTTTTCAATATATTTATACTTCCTTTTCGGTTATGACAATACCTTTATCTATCTATGAAAACGACTAAATGTTAACATACATATCTATCCTCGATAAAAAATCATAATGGAAAATTGTTATTTTCTTATCATTCGTGATAAAATACATTCGTTAACTCCCGTTAGGTCTAAGACAAAATTTCTCGATATCAGTCGGTTTAGATTCTCAAACGAAAATAACATAGTCGATATGACACAAGTAAATTCTAATTCTGATACTAAAAACCTTAAAAATATATATTATAATAACTAAAATATATTATTAAAAAGGAGGTCCTTTAGGCAAGGTTCCGAAGATACTGGGCAGCGTTTCCCCGTTGAATAGCTAGACTAATTCTTTGTCCAAGGTAACTGCCAGCTCTTCGGTCTCCTGTGACGTCGATTAACCTTTTTGCTTTTTTCCTTAAAAAGGCTTATAGCGCTAGGACCCCACGGACCAAGGGTCTTGACACCGAAAGGGACAAAAATATATTCGGAGCCTAGACCCCTGTATTTGCATACTTTAACTCTGTTGTTGATTCCATGTAGATGGGAAGGGGCCAGCGTGTCTGAACAGGTTGCATTCCATACCAGCACCCGGCCCATCTTCCATGGAATCAAAGTCATACCGTCCGGAAAGTTATGGTTGGAGTTGGGTTGATGGAGGTGTGCTGAACATTAACTAACGCGGTCTCACACTTAACGAATCGCCAAAGTTTCATCTAAATCAGGAAATGTTTTAGTCTAAAGATTTATCTGTCTATTACGTTTTAAGATAATTGATAGAATCAGGCGTTACTGGTTGCAAAGTAACTATTAATATCTTTATTATTACGTTTTATTTTAGACTAGCGACCTGTCCCGTCTTTTTTTGCATAGGATCTACTAATGTGGTGTTATTTAGATTTATGTTAATTAAAGACGGAATATCTTATCAATATTTCGTTTTTTCGTTAAAGTTTTTCTGAATAAATGCAGCCTAGTTCCCCCTGAAATTGCTCTTTAGTCTTTTCGTAAAGTTTCATCACCATTTATTTCAATATTACAGACACCTCACTTTTATTTATATGTATAAATGAAATAAAACCATAAGTACGAATAATATATAGGAATGTATTCATTAAATGAACATGAAAGTAGTCAGGTTATGCTAGGGCCAGAGAACGTTTTTTAGTTTAGTTTAGTTTACGACGGGCTGTTTTCCGCAACTCCACGTCTAAGCGCATATTTTGCGTGTGGGCAGGAATAATTGTAGTGTTATGCTTACATACATACTTACATATCATTTTACACTATTTTATTTTTATTTTTCCATTCTGTTTTTTGATTTTCTACATTCACCTCAAAACTGGATATTTTGCATCACCTTTATTTCCATAGGATCCTGTAATATTTTTTAATTCATAAGAACACAATAACAAATCATTTTCACTTCGTATTTTCACGTTATCAGCACTTTTTAAATCGGTGTCAATGGAGTCTACCTTTTTCGATCTTTTATTTAGTTCTCCGTAACTCTACAATTTCGGGTTTCGTGCGCGCTCTTGCGCTACCTTTTTTCCTATATAAATAATATCTCATTTTTCACTTAAATCTTGCCGTTTCTGTATTACGAGCTTAAAACCAAAATTTGACATGTTTTGACATCGTTGTTTATCTGGTTGTCGTGGCAATTTTTATTCAAATATTGTTACCGGCCTGATGTTTTTACTTCAAAAATACTCTTTTCTTCTTGGCCATTTACAAAAATTTGCTTTTAATTTAAATAATTTCAAATAATTTCTCGTTCTTATCCCAGATCCGTCAAAAAGTATAAAAGCCGAAGAATCGGCCGATAGAGGTCCTCACTTCAGCTTTGATACGAGAAGCACCTCTTAAAGGCTTTATCCGCACTGCCTCGGGATCTTGCAAGCCTTCTCCTGAAGTCGTCGCCTAGCCACGCCTACGCCTCCACCTATTAGTGCCCGCGCTATCTTCGGCCGCTGAGCGTGTTTGTCTCAAGCGCTGCGTGTTCCTACTCCAGACGCTGCGTGTCTACTCCGGACGCTGTGTGTGTCTACTCCGGACGTTGTGTTTGCCTACTTCAAGCGCCACGTGTACCT